ATTAGCGTTGCCAACACCATTGCCATTACCATTACCATTACCATTACCGCTGCCATCACCATTACAATTCCCATTCCCATCACCATTGCCATTACCGTTACCAGTACCATTTCCATTACCATTACCATTGCCATTATCATTACCACTACCACTACCATTTCCAATCCCGTTCCCGTTCCAATTACCACTACGATTCCCATTACCATTACCATTACCATTACCATTACCATGACCATGACCATGACCATGACCATGACCATTACCATTACCATTACCATTACCATTGCCATGGCCATTGCTATTGCCATTGCCATTGCCGTTGCCATTCCCATTGCCATTGCCATTACCATTGCCATTGCCATTGCCAGTCGCTACCCCGTTACCATTGCCATAACCATTACCCTTACCGTTACCGTTACCATTGCCATTCCCAGAACCATTACCATTACCATTGTCATTGCCATTACCATTACCATTGCCATTGCCATTGCCATTCGCCACTACCATTACCATTGCCATTCGCCACTACCATTACCATTACCATTGCCATTGCCATTGCCATTCGCCACTACCATTACCATTGCCAGGACCATTACCATTCCGATTCACATTCCCATTCCCAATACCATTACCATTACCATTACAATTGCCATTACCATTACCATTACCTTTACCTCTACATTTACCTTTTCCCTTACCCTTATCATTCCCATTTCCGTTACCACTACCACTACCATTTCCATTCCCGTTCCCGTTCCCATTCACATTCCCATTCCCGTTCCCATTCCCACTACCATTGCCATTATCACTACAATTACCATTGCCGTTGCCATTGCCATGGCCATTATCATTGTCATTGCCATTGCCATTGCCAATCCCATTGCCATTACCATTACCGTTGCCATTGCCATTGTCATTGACATTGCCAATCGCTACCCCGTTACCATTACCATTACCAGTACCATTACCTCTGTCATTACCATTACCATTACCATTGCCATTGCCATTGCCATTCGCCACGACCATTACCATTGCCAGTACCATTTTCATTCCCATTACCATTAACATTAACATTACCGTTACCGCTGCCATTACCATTAGAATACCCATTCTCATTCCCAATACCATTTCCATTTCCATTACCATTACCAGTGCCATTACCATTACCACTACCACTATCATTTCCATTCCCATTCCCACTCCCATTTCCATTCCCACTCCCATTTCCATGACCATTACCGTCACCACTGCCATTGCCATTACCATTCCCATGACCTTTACCTCTACCTTTACCCTTACCATTACCATTGCCATGGCCATTACCATTGCCATTGTCATTGCCATTCCCATTGCCATTACCATTACCGTTGCCCTTGCCATTGTCATTGCCTCGCTACTCCGTTACCACTATCATTACCGTAACCATTACCAGCACCATTACCATTACCATTGTCATTACCATTACCATCACCATTGCCATTGCTACTGCCATTGCCATTGCCATTCGAGGATTTCAGTAGGAATCATTCAGTGGAGGGTTTCAGTAGGAATCCACATGTGGAGGATTTCAGTAGGAATCATTCAGTGGAGGGTTTCGATAGGAACCCTTCTGTCGAGGATTTCACTGTGAATCCTTCTTATGGGGGCGTTCAATAGGAATCCTTCTAGGGGGGAGGGCAGATGTGGCCACGTCGCACAAAAAACGTGTTTTTTTTCCTGGGGGGGGAGCCAGGAGAAAAAAAAAAAGAGGTAGGAGGAGGGGGAGAGGGAGGAGGAGGAGCGGAGGAGAGGAGGAGGAGGCGGAGGAGGAGGAGGAGGACGACACAGAGCAGAGTTTGCACAGAAACAGTCGCGAACTCAGCGCGAAAGCCTCGCGCGCGCGCTTTGGAACCACAGGGACTCCACAATCCCCCGTTATCGAGGAGGAGGAGGAGCAGCAGGAGCAGGAGCAGGAGCAGCAGGAGCAGGAGGAGCAGGAGGAGCAGGAGCAGGAGCAGGAGGAGGAGCAGGAGGAGGAGGAGGAGGCGGAGGAGGAGGAGGGGGAGGAGGAGGAGGAGCAGGAGGAGCAGGAGGAGCAGGAGGAGGACACACGTCGCCGCTGACGAGGAGTGCGCTCCCCTCCTGGCGCCAGCGAGGCCGGGGCTGCAAAGACGCGTCGCCCGGGCAGGCGGGCGTGCCCTCCGCGAGGACGCGCCGCGCGGGGGGGGAAGGCGGATTGACCGAGCAGGGGAGGGAGCAGGGAGGAAGGAGGGAGGAAAGAAAAAGGGGAGGCAGTGAGGAAGGAGCGAGGACGGAGAAGGCAGAGAGGAAAAGCAAAGCGAGCACGGTGGAGGGCAGAGGGAGGAAGGAGCAGGACGAGACGGGATCGAGTTTGCGTTTGGGCAAACGGCGTTCTTCCGTTTGGTTGTCGGCGGGCGAGTGCGTTTTGTCCCGGCAAAGATTTTCATCTCAGAGTTTGGCGAACCCCATCGCAGCAGTGCGCAGCGCGCACCTTCCGTAGTCTTCGTCACGTCTTGGCGACATGAAGTGGGGTCGCATATTTTGCGGTCTCCCCACCTTGGTCAGGACATCGATTACATCGACGTCTACCACCTCACAGCCGTACGACTGCTCCACGGGATCTTCGAAGATGAGCACATGGTCTGCAAGGAAGAGGCTCCAGGGCAGGGCGAGGCTGAGGGCACCCAGGTTGCGCTCAGCAGAGGGGGGAGGACTCGAAGGATGCTGCTGTTGCCTGGACCCCTCCTGGGCTGCGCGCCGGCCAGGATGTCGAGGCGGGTGCCGCCGTGGCCGGAGGAATCGGTGCCTGTGCCTCCTCTGGGCCCTGTTCTGTGGAGCCACCGAGAGGGCGGCGGGTGGAGAGGCGGCAGGAGCTCTGCGCGCGGAGGTGGCGCGGCGGGGCGGGGCCTGGGTGGGGGGGGCCGCAGGCAGGGCTGTCCGCGGTCCGGTGCGATCCGATCCGCTCCCCGAGCTTCGAGGCCGAGCTCGATTCCGATGCGACGCGAGCCGCTGCGTCGTCGGCAGGGAGGGGCCGGGCCCCATCCGCGATCCGAGGCGCTTCGCGATCCCGAGCCGGCTCTGCGACTCGGCTCGGCTCGGGCCTGGCTTTTGGGGGGGGCAGTGTCGGAGGTGGATAGACCTCCCACCTTGACAGTCAATCCTGACACGTCGATTAAGGAGTTGGCCGTTCTCGGCTCGCGAGGGGGCGTCGCGGCCGTCATTGTTGCGGGTCCTGGTCCGTCGGTTTCGGTCCCAGGCCGTTTTCACCAAGGGGAGGTTTCCTAAAGGGAGGCTTGTCCACCGCCGAGACAGGAGGTGGGGTGCGGGGGGAAGGCTCCACGAAAGACAGCGCGGGGACCTCCAGCGAGGGAAGTGAGCGCACGTTGGGCTCGATGCGCTGGGGAGCTCCGCAGCTGGTCCGCAGGGAGAGAAAAAATCCGAAGAGGCAGGAACCGAGTACACAAATACACCCCCCCCCCCTCCAGGGCTCCGACCCGCACCTCGATGACTCTTTGCGGCAACTCCGAGGCACTGCCCTCCCGGGGCCTCCAGGAGACCCCGTGGGAGCCCTCCTGCGGCTCCTTGGGAAGCCCAGGGCGCCCCCCGAGGCAGCCCAGAAGTGCGCCAAGACGGCCCGCGACGGCCTCCCGACGGTCCCAGAGGCCCCCGCGGGCGCCCACGACGGCTCCAAGAGGTTCCCCAGCGCTGCCCAGGAGGGCTCCAAGGAGGCCCTCGAGAGGCCAAGATCATCATATATGTTTTTTTGTTGTTTCTCGTTGTTCCTTTTGACTATTGCTTTCTCGTTGTTTCATTTGTTGTTCGTTGTTTGATGTGGTTTGTGTTTTTGATATTTGTTTTATTTTTCATTCGTCGTTCTGTCTTCGGAACATACGTGGCTTCTGTTTTCTCGTTGTTCGCCTCTGCTGCGGCTCCGAGGCTGCCGCGTGACCCACACGAGGGCTCCAAGGACGGCCGCAGGAGGCGCCCTGAGCGGCCCCAAGAGGCCCCGAAGGGCCACCAAGACGCCCGACGAGGCGCCCATGAGGCGACGACGACGACGACGACGACGACGACGGTGACGGTGACGGTGACGGTGACCACGACCACAGGGAAAGGGGAGGCGATCCATTTCGCGAGGCCTTCGCGAGGCTCACGGTCGCACCCATCCAGCGGGGGAGGGGGGGGGCGATCCTTTTAGCATGGGGGGGCGGTCGGATCATATATGTTGGTACCCCCGCCACCCTTGTCAGAAACCAATGCAAAATGATCGCGGGGCGCTCGCGCATGCCTCAGATTTGACGCAAAGTGTATTTCTCATTGTTTTCTGACCGGAATGGTTGGGGGAGGGTCGGCATGGGTTTGGGTTGGCTGCCGGCCGGATGGGGGAGGGGATGTTTTGCTTAAATCGCCTACGGCGAATCACCGCCACCCCCTACCTTTTGGAACCGCCCATGCGGCCAAACGTTGGGCCGAAGATTGGCCAAGCTATTGGACTACCATATGTTCCCCCAGCCGCTTTGGAACCCATTGGGGGAAAATTGGGGTGAGGAAGAGAAATGAGGAGGAGACGGAGGAGGATAAAGAAAGGGGGGCCTCTTGAGGCCCCCTTGAAGCCTTCTGGGTGTTTCCTGGGAGCCTTGAGGAGGGCGTGAAGGGGCTTTTTGTGGGTCTCTTGGAACCTCATAAGGCCTCTTGGGGACCACTTGGGGGGCTCTGGGGGCCTTTCTGGGACCCCTTGGTCTTCGAGGGCCATCTTGGGGCCCAGTCTTGGAGGTTTCTGGGGCCGTCTTGGCCTCTTGGCCTCTTAGGGGCCTCTTGGGATGTCTTGGAGCACTCTTGGGCCGTCTTGCGGGCCTCTCGGGGGTCTCTTGGGCCGTCTTGGGGCGATCTTGGGGGCCTTTTGGCTTGTCTTGGAGCGTCGGGTGCCCGAAAAGGCGAGATCATTCAAACCAGTGAGAAGAAAACCCAAAGGAATGTCATTGAGTTTGGCCTCCTAGAGGTCCTCTCGGAGCCCCCCCCCCTCTTAGGGCGTCCAAGGGGCATCGTGGCCTTCCAGAGGCCGCCTTGGGCCCTCCCTGGACAGTCGTGGGTCCCTCTTTGGGCGCGTTAGGGCCGTCTTCGGGCTGAGGCTCAGGCAGGGCGCCGGCCGGCAGCGCTGCACTGCCACGGCGACCTCGGAGAGCAGGTTGAGCCAGCGTGCCCCAGGCAAAGCCCGGGGAGCATGCAGCAAGGCCTAATGACGCTTACCGCATTTCATTACGCAAGGTCTCTGGGAACGCCTTGGAAACCTCTTAAGCTGTCTTGGGGCCCTCTTGGGCGGCCTTGCGGGCCGCTTGGGGGTCTCGTAGGGGCGATCGTTGGGGCCTACGGGCCGCCCATCTTGGAGCGTTGGGCGCCCCAGAGTGCTAAAATCGCTTGAAAGCCAAAGGAATATCGATGGTCTTGGCCGCCTGGGGGTTCTCTTTGAGCCCTCTTGGGGCGTCTAAGGGGCCTCTTGGCCTTCAGGGGCCCTCCCTGGGCAGTCGTGGGTCCCTCTCTGAGCGCGGTAGGGCTGTCTTGGAGGTCTCTGGGGGCGTCGGGCCGCCTTGCGGGCCTTTTGGGCTGCCTTGGGCCGTCTTGGGCGGCCTCGCGGGGCTCTTGGGGGCCTCTTGGGCCGTCCTGGGGCGATCGTTGGGGCTTATGGGCCCGTCTTGCAGCGTCGGGTGCCCGAAGATGCGAGGACGCCACAAACCATTGAAAAGCCTTCGGCGAATCCAGGGTGTTGGCCTACTGGAGGTCCTCTTGGGACGTCTGAAGGGCCTCTTGGGCCGTCTAAGGGACATCTTGGGACGTCTTGGGGCCATATTGGCCGTCTTAGAGGCGTCCTGGGACCGTCTTGGATGCCATCCTGGCCGTCCTGGAGGCATCTTGGCGACCATCTTGGGCCATCTTGGAAGCGAGTTTTTCTGGTGCTTCCCCTCCTTCCAGGTCCTTGCGCGGCTCTCTGGGTGGCTGGCGGATTGGGCCGAAGACCCACTAGACATTGCAAAAGGAACCCACATTACCGAATGTTTGGTTTTTAAATTCAAAAAATTGGCTTTTGAATTCAAGAACTGGTCTTCGAATTCAAAAAAATAGTTCTTCAATGCAAAAAGCACGCCGTGCAAACTTGTGGCAAACCACGGGTGGCGGCAAATGACAAAAAGCGCGCGTGGCGTCGCGACAAGGGCCCCAAGACGGCCCAAGAGGCCCCGAAACGGCCCCACAGGGCACCAAGACGGCCCTAAGGAGCCCCAAGAGGGCCCAAAGAGGCTCCCACAAGGGCCTCAAGGGGCCCCAAGGAAAGCTCCAAGACGCCCGAAGGCCTCCAAGACGGCCCCAAAGGGGCCCCGAGACGCCCGAAGAGGCTTCCAAGAGGTTTCCCAAGGGGACCCAAAGAGGTAAACATCATTGACTTGTCGATGGTTTTTGGTAGTTTGGGGGTTTCTCGCTTTTCCGGACCCAGAACGGCCCAAGAGGCTCCAAAGTTTATCCCCAGACGGCCCGCAAGGCCCCAAAAATAAACCGAAAACGGTCCAAGAGGGCACTAAGGCAGCCCCAGAGGGCCCCGAAACGGCCCAAGAGGGCTCCAAAATAGCCCCAAGAGAACCCCAAGAGGGCCCAACGAGACTCCCAAGAGGGCCCTCAGAGGCCCTCAAGAGTGCCAAAAGAATGCCACAGGCCTCCAAGACGCCCCAAGACGGCCCAAAAGGGCACCCAAGGGGCCCCCTAATGACCCCCAAGCAGCCCCAGAGACGCCAAGTAACACCATGGCTCCCAACAGCGAGCGGTAACGTAACAGGCTCTGAACACCACGGCTACCCAGAGCGCGGTGACGTAAGAAGCTCTGAATAGCAAAGCTTCCAAGACCGAGCGAAAACGTAAAAAAAAATTGAACACTCCCCAACAGAGAGCGGTGAAGTAACAAGCTCTTAACAACAAGGTTCGTTGAAGCTTGGACTTGTTCGGAAACCCAGCGTTATCCCCGTGTGTCCCTGCAAATCGCTCAGAGCCGATGCATACTTGGATACATACACATCGGTGGGGCTCTGGCCGCACCGCCGAAACGAGTCTCCCAGGACGGGGCCTTCAGGGAAATATTTGCTTGTAATACGAATGAAATGTGTGGCACAACATCTCGAGGGACACACGGGATAAGTCTTCGGGTTTCCGACGTTTTCTCCCGGGCCGCGCAGGTTTCCAGGAGCGAAGGGTGCCATGCGCCATCTCGGGCAAGTTCATGAAGCGTTCTTTCCGTTTCCGTGCCGGCCCAAGTGTAATGGCGCAATTTTCAGTAGCGGTCGGTCCCAGACGGCCCCGACGGCCCCCAGACAACCCAAGAGGGTTCCAGGACGGCCTTGAGTGCGCCATGACGGCCCAAGCCCCCCAAGACGGCCCAAAGGAGCCCCAAAAGGACTTTCATGAAGGCCCAGATTGGCCATATTCACTGACGTTCGCAAGGTTGCTTGCTAGTTGTTGTATGACGTGCCAACGTCTTAAAACCAAGAGGGCTCCAAGACACTGAGCAAGCGATCTCGCGCCCTCACAGAGTACGAGCGCTTTCCGTCCCCGTGCCAAGCAGATGTAAGGGTACAATGTTCGGTCATGTTCGGCCCTAGACGGCCCAAGTCAGCCCAAAGAGCGACTCAGAGGGTCCCAAGACAGTCCAGGACAGCCCCAAGAGCGCCCAAGTTACCGCCACGACGGCCTCAGGGAGGCCCAAGAGGACCCCAAGACGGCCCGAGAGCGCTCAAAGAGGGCTCAGGATGGCGTCAAGACGGCCAAAGAGGCCCTCAGGACACCCCACGAGGCTTCCAAAAGGACGCCCAAGAAGCACACATCGTCCCACTCCATAGGTGAACACGTACATGTTTAGCATGTCTGCTTCTTTGGTCTTCTCAGCGTCTACGACGGCCTAAGAGGCCCCCAGGATCCCTCCAAGACGGCACAGGAGGTCCCGAAGACCGCCCCAAGACGGCCCAAAAGGGTTCCAAGACGGCCCCAGAGGGCCCCACGACGGCCCAAGTGAGGCCATTGAGGGCTCCAAAAGATTCCCAAGAGAGCCCCAAGACGGCCACAGGAGGTCCCTAAGGGCGCCCCAGAGGGCCCCAAGAAGGCCACAAGACGGCCCAAGCCCCCCAAGACGGCCCAAGTGGGCCTAGTGGGCCCCATGACGATGCAAGAGGGCCCCAAGACGGCGCAAAGGAGCCCCAGGACGACCCAAGAGGGCCCCAAGACGGCCCAAAGGAGTCCCAAACGGACCCCCACGAAGGCCCAGAGAGGCCATATTCATTGATGTTCGCAAGGTTGCTTGCTCGTTTATTGTATGACTAACCAACACATTAGCACCAAGACTCCAAGACACTGAGCAAGCGATCTCGCGCCCTCACAGAATACGAGCACTTTCCGTCCCCGTGCCAAGCAGGAGCAATGGCCTTCTGCCCATTCCGCCACCGTGCTTGAGCTGTTGGTCAGAGTCCTCAGGGATGTTTCTGGCGGTCTCTTAAGAGCGCTCTTGGGGGCAGTTTTGGGGCCTCTTGGGAGCCTGTAGGGGGCCTTTAGTGAGTCTCTTTGGGGGCCTCTTGAGGCTTCCAGGGAGCCTCTTGACTCTTGGGGGCCTCTTGGGGCGTTTTGGGGGCCTCTTTGGGCCTCCTGGGGGCCTCTCGAGGCCGAGGGCTCGAATGTCCGTTCGGGTCCCCCGTCTGGGCCCCCTCTTGGAGCCATATTGGGAGCCTCTTGGGCCGTCTTGGGGCGTTTGGGGACCCTTCTGGAGGCCTTGGGGCGATCTGTGGGGCCTCTTGGACAGTCTTGGCGCGGCAGGAAGTCGAAAAGGCGAGAACACCAAAGTCGCTCAAAAACCAGAGGAGAATCAAAGATGTTGGCATCTTGGGGCCCTCTTGGCAGGCCTCTTGCAAGTCTCCCGCGGCGCTCGACGGCCTGCTGAGCCGCCAGGGAGCCATCTTGGGCGTCTTCGAGCGACCGTCGTGCGAGAGCACGCCCCGGAGCCCACGGGGCACGCGGCAGGCCCCGGGAGGTCTGGCAGTGCGGGGCCCGGGCTCCCAGAAGAGTCCTCAGCACGGAAGGCTGAGGCTCAGGGGCCGAGGAAGGGACCCGGGGGACACGCCGCCTCGTGCCGCAGGGGCACGGTGATGGGTTCATCGGGGACAGAGACAGACCCCCCTCCCCAAGCGGGCAGTAGAGGGTTGGGGGAGGAACCGCCCTGAACCATCCAGCCCTGAAAGGCCGGTGAGACGTCACAGTGTTCGAAGTCTTGACGCTTCGCGATCCCCGCCAGCCCATCCAGAAACAATTGCCAGGGGGGGTGCGACAATGAGGCAGTGTAGAAGCATGCAGTGGAACGGGCCGACGTGGAAGCGTGTTAGGGGCGCAGAAACGGTGGGAATAGTTGCTGAACAATCTAGCAAATGTTCCCTTGCTGCCCCAGCTTTCGCTTGTTCTTCTGCGATGATGTATTGGAGTTGTCTTGAATTTCTCTTCGGCTCGATTGATTCTCGGGCAGTTGATTTGTGTTGCGTCCAGGACCGGCAGGAGCGATTGCCAGGCGAGCTGCCAGAGTCAGGGAATTGTAGAACCCTCCCTGTCTTTGGACAGTGGGGCGCAAGGCTCCAGAACCAGCAAAAGCGGGGTCCCCGCTTTGCAGGGTCGTTGGAGGGGGGTGACCCTGCAAAGATCTTGCAAAGTGGGCATCTTGGAGGCCTCTTGGGCCCCATCGCTAACAAAGGCGGGGGTAGGGAATTCAGACCCCCCCCCCCCTCGGAGGCTCACAAAGAGCGTCTTAGGGGCTCTCTTGGGGCGCTCTTGGAGCGCTCTTCGGCGCTCTTAGGGCTCCTCTTGGGCCGTCTTGGAGCCATCTTCAGATCTCAAAAGCCCATCCGAAGCGAAAAGGCGAGAAAGCAACAACCATTGATTTTCCTTGGGTAGTTGAAGGACTTGGGCCTCTTAAGGGGGTCCTTGGAGGGCTCGGAGGGTTCTTGGAACCGTCTTGGAGCTGTCGTGGGGCCTCTTGGAAGTTATGTCAGAGGCTATATTGAGCCATCTCAGGCTATCTTGAGCCGTATTGGAGGCCATCTTAGGATCCCTGAGGCCCTCTTGGAGCCATCTTGGGCAATCTTGGGCGCTCTAAATATCCGCGCCCCCCCCCCACCTCAGGCCCAGGAGAGGGGTAGGGGGAGGGGTAACCCCCTCCCCCGAACACGGGAAGGAGGGAGCTCTGGCAGAGAGAAGACACAACTCTTTAAACCACGCACGCCCTGAAGGCTGGTGGGGTTCGGCCAGCTTTGACGGGCATTTGATCTCGGCAAGACGGGATCGATCAATGTTGAGCGGTACAAATGGTGGCAGAAGTCAACGCCGACCTCATCGTGGCGTGAACCAGCCGTATCTGGCTCACCCTGACCCCAGAAGGCAGGGAGGTATCATTCAGGACGAAGAAGGAGCGAATGGGAACGCACGCGGATTGTCGATTCGTTGTAGTCTGGCGGCGAAGCCCGCGGAACATGGTCGAGTTGTACAAGCAGATCCGCCGCAGTTAGTTTCCTCCTGAGCCAGGGTTTGGGCTTCCGCGCATGGCTGCAACCAGAGCGATCGCGCCGTTGTCTCCGTACCGGGTGGGCTCGGAGGCATTGGTGTTGCAGACACAAGTTGAAGGGGTGCTCTACAACCACAACACGAACAACTTCGACATCGACCAGGATTTGCAACAAAAGCGTATCAAACATGATTTGCACAAGCCCACGTGTTGTAAACGTTTTCAAGATGGTATGTCCCATTCCTGGTGGCTCTCGTTTTGACCCCTCCCATTCCGTGCTCCGATCAGTTATCTATGTCTATGTTCATGAATCCCCAAAATCGTGTCCTTTCATCACCCTCCATATCGAAATGTGTGGTTGCCAGTCTCCCCATGCTCTTGCTCATGCCCATTGCCGTAGCAAGTCCTTGACATACTCACCATGACCGCCGATGCTGTTGGGGTATCCAATGAAACAAGGCTCCCTGTCTGGGCTGCGCTTTTGGTGCTTTCGTGCCGAATTAATGTGACGCCAAGTCTACTGATTTCGCAACCGTCCCATAGAGCCGACCTATTGATCCGCCCCATAGAGTCGACCAATAGAGCACACAGGTTGCCATGCTGTAAGCACTGCGTGAATCCAGCTCGAACACATGCAAGCGTTTGTGAATGCGCAGTTGAAGACGCCTTGAAAAAAACAAACTGCTGGTCTTTAAATGTTTTAGGGAAACCGATTGGTTGTTGACATGCACATCAGGAAACCGATTGCTTCCCAACCCTCCTGTGTTGGGTTCTCGTTTGGAATAGAGCGTTGTGGTCTCCAGTCCCCCCTCCTCCTCCTCCTCCTCCTCCTCCTCGTCCTCCTCCTGCTCTTCCTCCTCCTCTCCATGCTGGATTCCCAACCTTCCTGTGTTGGGTTATCGTTTGCGCTTTTAACAGAGCACTGCTCGCACAAACTCCCGCCCACTTTCTTCCCCCCCCTCCTGCATCCTCTTGCGCTGCTCCCTGGGTGGCTGCTAATTGCGCAGCTGTCACCACGTTCGTGGGCTCGTGGGAGGTCCAGCGGAGTCGGGAGCCACGCAGATCAATTGACCTCGCTGCTCCTTGGGTGACCGCGAACTGCGCAAGTGTCACCACTTTCGTGGGCTCATGGGAGATCCAGCGGAGTCGGAGGCCAAGCAGATCCATTGGGGGCCTCGCTGCTCCCTGGGTGGCTGCGATCTGCGCAAGTGTCTCCACTATCATGGGCTCCTGGGATGTCCAGCGGAGTCGGGGACCATGCAGATCCAGTGGGCACCTCACTGCTCCTTGGGCGGCTGCGAATTGCGCAATGTTCTCCACGTTCGTGGGCTCATGGGAGGTCCAGCGGAGTCGGTGGCCACGCTGATCCATCTGGGACTTCGCTGCTCCTTGGGTGGTTCCGAACTGTGCAAATGTCACCACGTTCGTGGGCTCCTCGGGGGTCAGCGGAGTCGGGGACTATTCATTGGGGACGTTATTGCTCCTTGGGTGGCTGCGAACTGCACAATTGTCACCACTTCTGTGGGCTCCTGGGAGGCACGGCGAAAGTGAGGCAGCGCAGATTAATGTGAGGCAGCGTTGTTCCCCCGGGTGTTGCGAATTGCGCATCCGTCGCCATGTCCGTGGGTTTTTGGGAGGCACGGCGGAGGTGAAGGTAGGGCAGTTCGTGCTTGGTTAGCGATGTATTATTATGTATGGGACGTCCTACAAAGATTCGCCTCGCGTGGAAAAGGGGCGATGTACGTCTAGGATGAGCATCATTGTATGAACCAAAAACGTATCAATATTTTGATCGCTCACATATAAGTGCGTCGCATCACATAGTGAGCTGGGTGTTTCTCTTTCGGTGGTGTACACGACAACCGTTTTTTGATGCGCCTTCAAAATCATTTGAGTATTCAACACATCAAACAACAATCAACAGGGTCTACCAAAGTATTCAAACGCTCGCATGAGTTCGAGATGGATTCCTGCGATGCTTATAGAATTACCTATCCATGTGCCCTATGAGTTCTCTATGGGATGGCCACCGATCAATGTGTCGATTCGATGGGACGGTTTCCAAATCAATAGAGGAGAAGGAAGAGGCGGAGGAGGCGGAAGGACAGGTAACTGACGAAAAAGAGGGGAAAGGGAGAAGGAGGAAGAAGGGCCAATGAGAAAGCAGGACGAGGGGGGAGGAGGAAGAGGATGAAAGCGAGGAGACTAAGGACGGAGAAGCATGAGGGGGCGGGGGGGAGAGGGGGTAATGACAAGCTATGTGCGCTCGCGTCATACCTGACGTCCTACCCCTCCCTCCCTTCCCTTACCATGGCGTATATCTCCTCTGTTCGCAGAGTCGGAGGTCGAGTAGGGCAATGATCCCGAGAGGGTGCACGATGCATCGTATAGCACGGCATAGCAGGGCGAAGAAGAGCACGGGAGAGCGTAGTATGTCATAGCATGGCGTGGCGTTGCGTAGTGATGAGTTGCATCACAAAGCATTGCAACGCATATAATGGCATCGCACAGCTGCACAGAACAGAACATGGCATAGCATGGCGTCGAAGATCAAAACGTAGCATGGCATAGCATGGCGTGGCACTGCGTAGTCAAGCACTCCATATCCTGGGATTGCAGCTGAAGGCATGGCATCGTACAGCGGAACACCACATGGCACTGCATTGCATGCCGTGGCATGGCATTGGAAATAATGACGTCAGCGTTGCAGCGGGAGCACAATTCGGAACGAGCGGAAGCGCGGAAATGAGGCCAGCGCTGCAGCGGGAGCACGATTCTGAACGAGCGGAAGCTTGAAAACGGGGCCAGCGCTCCAGCGGGAGCAACATTTTGAAACAAGAATCCAAGCGAAAACCCAATTCCCCGGAATCTTGTGTAAAAAAGTACGCGGAGGGGGGCCGAACATGTCTTGGACGTTATCAGGGGAGAAAGGAGAGTAGTATTCGGATTGTGAAATTGTGGAGGAGGAAGAAGAGGAGGAGGAGGAGGAGGAGGAGAAGAAGGAGGAGTTGAAACAGAGTCTGGCGAAGGAGGATGGGTAAGAGGTCGGAAAGAAGTGGAAGAGGAGGAGGAGGAGGAGGAGGAGGAGATGACGCCCGCGTCACCTCCCCTCGGAGCGACACTCTCATCCCGATGCAGGGAGCCATTGGCGTTTGGAAATGACCCTGGTCCACCTCGGACTATTCCTCCTCATCCTTACTCCGTCCTCCTCATCACCAGTATCCTTGTCCTGCGTCTCCTCCTCCTCCTCCTCATCATCCGCATCCTCCTTATCGTTTCGCCCTCGGCTGGAACCCGAAGCCGGCCAGGAGTTAGGGGACAGGCCTGACTCATTCTTGAATGGTCGGCTCATTTTCGTTTGGGAGCAGCAGACTTGGGCTTTCAAGGGGTGGGCCATTTGGGATGTCGGCTCATTGTCGGCCTGTTCTGGCAGATTCTTTTCGTTTTGTTTGCTGACACATGTAGGTCTAAGTGGATTACGTGTTGATTTGTTTGATTACATCAGCAGCTGATTTTTGTTTGGGGTGTTCGACAACGCGTTTGAGTCTGGGTTGGGGTTTTCTTGCAACACAGGTCGGAAGAGTGTGATTCTTCACGTGGGGGGTGACTCTTATCGAAGACGCCTACAGCGAATCACCGCCGCCCCCTGAGTGTTTCCCCACATGTTTCGTGGGGTTCTGGTTTTCTTCCCTGCCGCGTCGCACCCGCGTCTCACACCCGCACCCGCGTCTCACACCCGCACACACCTCCCTCTCAGACCGACACAGACACCGACACAGACACCGGCACACCGACACAGACACAGGCACACACGCACAGACACACCGACACAGAAACACACAGACACAGGCACATAGACACAGACATACACAGACACATACTCCCTCGCGTCATACATACACAGGCACACCGACACAGACACATACACACAGACACACACCACACACACACAGACACAAACACACATACACACGTACACTCCCTCACCCACGCGCAACACCTGCACGGCACGTACATGAGACACGCGTAGCACACTTCACAACACAGCGCAGCGCAGCACAACACAGCGCTGCTCAGCACAGCTCTCAGCTCGGCACAGCACAGCTCAGCACAGCAGAGCAGAGCGCACATGACACGCCATACACAACACGCACGTGTAGGATGCGCAGGACACGGCAGGCATGGCACTTTCTCGACACCAGGGGGAGTGCGTTGGTGGTGGTCCTTGAGCGCGGTGTTCGACACCATAGGGGGTGCGCAGGAGGTGGTCCCTGAGCGCGGCCGCTATCCGAGCCGGTCGTCCAGGGCATGGCAGGAGTGGCACTTTCTCGACACCATAGGGGGTGCGCAGGGGGTGGTCCCTGAGCGCGGCCGCTATCCGAGCCCGTCGTCCAGGGCATAGCAGGAGTGGCACTTTTCCAACACCATAGGAGGTGCGCACGGGCTGGTCCCTGAGCGCGGCCGCTATCCGAGCCGGTTGTCCAGGGCAAGGCCGGATAGCATTTTCTCAACAACGTAGAGGGTGCGCAGGAGGTGGTCCTTGAGCGTGGCCGCTATCCGAGCCGGTCGTCCAGGGCATAGCAGGAGTGGCACTTTCCCGACACCAGAGGGTGCGCAAGAGGTGGTCCCTGAGCGCGGCCGCTATCCGAGCCGGTCGTCCAGGGCATAGGAGCGGCACTTTCCCGACACCATAGGAGGTGCGCACGGGGTGGTCCTTGAGCGCGGCCGCTATCCGAGCCGGTTGTCCAGGTCAAAGCAGGAGTGGCACTTTCTCGACACCATAGGGGGTGCGCAGGAGGTGGTCCCTGAGCGCGGCCGCTATCCGAGTCGGTCGTCCAGGGCATGGCAGGAGTGGCACTGTCTCGACACCATAGGGGGTGCGCAGGGGGTGGTCCCTGAGCGCGGCCGCTATCCGAGCCAGTCGTCCAGGGCATGGCAGGAGTGGTACTTTCTCGACACCGTGATTAGGGGGTGCGCAGGAGGTGGTCCCTGAGCGCGGCCGCTATCCGAGCCCGTCGTCCAGGGCAAGGCAGGAGTGGCACTTTTCCGACACCATAGGAGGTGCGCAGGGGGTGGTCCCTGAGCGCGGCCGCTATCCGAGCCTGTCGTCCGGGGCAAGGCAGGATAGCACTTTGTCGACACCGTAGGGGGTGCGAAGGACGTTGTCCCTGAGCGTGGCCGCTATCCGAGCCGGTCGTCCAGGGCAAGGCAGGAGTGGCTTTTTCCCGACACCATAGGGGGTGCGCAGGGGGTGGTCCTTGAGCGCGGCCGCTATCCGAGCCCGTCGTCCAGGGCATAGCAGGAGTGGCACTTTCCCGACACCATACGAGGTGCGCAGGAGGTGGTCCCTGAGCGCGGCCGCTATCCGAGCCGGTCGTCCAGGGCAAAGCAGGAGTGGCACTTTCTCGACACCATAGGGGTTGCGCAGGAGGTGGTCCCTGAGCGCGGCCGCTATCCGAGCCGGTCGTCCAGGGCAAGGCAGGAGTGGCACTTTCTCGACACCTAGGGGATGCGCAGGAGGTGGTCCCTGAGCGCGGCCGCTATCCACGACACTGTCGCACAGCCTAGCAGCCGTGGCACTTTCTGGACACCATAGCGGGTGCGCAGGGGGTGGTCTTTGTGCGCGGCCGTTATCCTCTCCTTTCTCCTCCCTCCTCTCCTCTTGACTGGCGTCGCCAACGGTATCGGCGGGGCAACGGCCACCAACATCCTTCTCACATGCTTCTTTTCTGTTATCACCACTCCAGCCATAATACAAGTATGTGGGGTTCCTCGGAAGCGTAATGGAAGCGCCTATGTGGCCGAAAGTTGGGCTAGAGCTATCAGACCATGTGTTTCCCCAGCTGTCGTTGAAACCTTTTGGGGAACACGTGAGGAAGAGGAGAATGAGGAGAAGAAAGAACATTGACTAGGAGGAGGAGGAGGAGGAGGAGGAGGAGGAGGAGGAGGAGGAGGAGGAGGAGGAGCAGCAGAAAAAGGAGGAGGACGCCTCTTAGAAGCGTCTTGGGGCACTCTTGGGGTGTCCTGGGAGCTTCCTGGGGGCCTCTTGGAGGCCTCTTGGGGGCCTCCTTGGGCCTCTTGGGGGCCTTTCACGAGGCTTCTTGGGGGCCTCATGGCCGTCTTAGGGCGTTCCTGGCCCGTCTGGCGCCGTCGGAAGCCGTCTTGGATGCCTCCCTAAAACCGACTGTAGGCCCTCTTGAACGCCATCTTGGGCGTCCCGGAGGTGTTTTGGACCGTCTTGAGGCCCGTTGGGTGCTTTTTCAGGTGCGTCTTGGGGCCTTCCTGGGGCCATATTGGAGGCCTCTTGGGCGATCTTGTGGCGATTTGGGAGGCCTCTTGGGCCGTCGTGGGCCGTCTGACGGCCGAAAAGAGGCGAAAGCAAAATCCTTCAGAGACCTTCTAGGAAAATCAAAGATTTGGCCCTTTCGGGCCTTCCTCCTAGGAGGGAGAACCTCTTGGAGGCCTCGTGGGCTGTCTTGGAGGCCTCTTGGGAGCCTCTTGGGCCGTCGTGCGGGCAAGATTGGGCCGTCTTGGGTGCATCGTGGGCCGTCTTGGAGCCATCTTGGGCTCTCTTGGAGCCATCTTGGCCGTCTTGGAGGCCATCTTATTCGTCTTGGAGGCCATCCTATATATGGTTTCCTGGAGCCGTCCAGAGCGGATAAACCCTTGCCAACCACCCCGCTTGGAGCTTTCTGGGTGGCCGGCGCAATGAGCCGAAACCCCGGGGGGAATTGTTCCCCAATCAGAGCTTGCCTCTGTAGGGGTCCTAGCGGATGTGGTTAGGTTGGGTTTGCCGCCGATTTTCGTTGCACGCCCGGGTGCCCGGGGGTGCCCGGGCGTGCCCGGGCGTGTCCGGGGGTGCCCTGTAGCCCAATAGCCCTATAGTCCTACAACTCTATAGCCTTGTAGCTCTATAGCCCTATATCTCAATATCCCTATAGCCCCCTAGCCCTCTAGCCCTGATTGGGGCTTTTCTACGGTATCATTTAATAAGAATATAGAAACATCTAAGAAATCTGGCACGCCAGGCACCTCTATGACAAATCAGCAGGGGGTGGCGGACCTAAGACGCCTACGGCGAATCACCGCCACCCCCTGCCGTTTGGGAAGCGCTTATGTGGTCCAACGTTGTGGCCATGGCTCGGCCAAGCTATCGGACCATGTGGTCCCCCAGCCGTTGTGGAAACCCTTCGGGGAACACGTGGGGGAAAAAGAAGAAGAAGAAGAAGATGATGAGACTGCGGAAAAAGGAGGAGGAGGAGGAGGAGGAGGAGATTTCTCGGGAGCCTATTTGGACACTCTTGGAGGATCCTGGGAGCTTCCTGGGGGCCTCTTGGAGGCCACCTGGAGGCCTCCTTGGGCCTCTTGGGGGCATTTGGGAGCTTCTTGGGGGCCGCGTTGGCAGTCGTAGGGTGATCCTGGCGCGTCCGACGCCGTCGGAAGCCGTCTTGGAGGCCTCTCTGGACCGTCGTTGGCCTTCTCAGGGCTTTACGGGGCCGTCTTGGAGATCATCTTGGGCGTCTTGGAGGCCTCTTGGGACCCTCTTGGGGCCGTCTTGGGGGCCACTTGGGCCGTAGGGGGCCATCTTGGAGGCCTCTCGGGCGCTCTGGGGGCGATCTTGTGGCTTCTTGGGCCGTCTCGGGCCATCGGAAGGCAGAAAAGAAGCAACTAAGGAGAAACAATGATTTTGGCCTCTTCGGGCCCTCCTGGAGGACCTCTTGGAGGCCTTTTGAGCCGTCTTCAAGGCCTCTTGAGGGACTCCTGGGCCGTCTCGGGCCTCTAAGAGGCCATCTTGGATCATCTTGGACCGAGTTGACTGGTGACTATTGTTTCTCCCAGCGACTGCATTTTCGCGGGCCTATTATTTGTGCGAATGGTGTGTTCCGATCGGTTCTTATGAGTGATTGTTTTTCGGTGGGGGATTGCTGGTAGGACATTGCGGTGCGATTTCCAAGAGCAGTTGTTTGTTTCCATGTTCGATTCGTTGCTTTGATCTTGTTCCAGTGAAAGAATTCAGCCCAGTTAACCACCAAACAAAGCTTCACGTGTGCATCCCAGTTCCAGGCTTGTGCCTCGTGCCTACGCGGGGACAGCGAGGATGCTTATCCGGCTGCCTGTGGCAAACTCCGCCACAGCGCCAGAACAGCAGCGCAGCGTGAAGGCGGGTCAAAGACGCATGTTGGCGCTTCTCTGGGGCCTCTTGGACATGTTGGGTCCGTTTGGGGGGTCCCTGGGGGTCTGCAGCGGACATATTGGAGGCCTCTCGGGAGTATCTTAGGCATTTGGGGGGCCTTCGGGGGGCCTCCATCTCTTCCTCCTCCCCCTCCTCCTCCATCCCTCCTCTTCCTCTTCGAAGACCCGGACGACATCCACTCGCTCAGTGTGATTTCTTCCCCCCGCATCATCATCTTTCCCTTCAGGCTAATCTTGTCATCCCTCTCCTCTTTCCTGCTCCCTCGCGTCCTTCCTCTGTGTCACCCCTCCTCCTCGAGGACCCGTACGACGTCCACCCGCACTTCGACCCCCTTGCCGTTCGACTGCCATGCGGACCTCGAGCGCGTGGAGGACATGGGGGAAAAAATAAAAGCTGGAAGCGAGGAGGGGAAGAGAGGCATAGTTGGCACGATGATTAAGACCAGCGCTATTGTGGGGGAGGTACCTTGAGACTGGTAATGTCTTGGAAGAGGAAACGGCTGTATAAACATAGATGCTCGAAGGTCCGCGTGGGTTTCCTGCATCGTCGCTCCACCCCCCTGGTGGGGCTTCCAGCGCCGCTTCCGACGCGCCCCGCACGCCAGGGAGAGGGGTCCAGCGCTGATCTCGGAGATCCGCGTGAACCGTTGAAACACGATGTGCATGTTGGTGATTATTTTTCTAATCAGGTCGTCGCGAGCAGAAGATCGCGAAAGCAAGGGACCCCATGCGACGCTGGCGCCAGCCGCATCGCAGTGCCGGCCACGGCTCGGCCGAGCCGCGCCCCTTTCGAGGTGCGCTCGGCCAGCCCGAAACCTCGGGGCGGCAGAGCTGAGATCGGCCCAGCTCGGGGGGGGGCGTAAGATGGTGGGGGCTGGCGAGTTGGGTTTTCTTCGAATCTCGGGGAGTGCGTGTTCTGGGCAACAGTTGGGCCCACGGGTTGCGCGGGAGGGGGTCGTCGAAGCGACAGACAGTTGTGCAAGGTTGTGGGGTGAGTTCGTACAGAATGCTCATGCTCTTCCTTCTGCTCCTCCTCTCTTGTTTCCTCCCTCCTGAGATTAATGGCCTAACGTCGCGTGCAGTTGACGTCTCAGCTGGGGATGTGCTGAGACAGTGGTCCTGGGTCGCTGCTTCGGCAAGGGCGGTACAGCGCTGCATATTGCAGCATCGGCCTTCACTCCTCTCGGTTGAGGTTACGGATCTGCTTCGCGATGTTTTTTGTTCACTTGGTTCGTGATGCGAACGGCACGCGCGCGAGCTAGCACCGTGTTGATGTTGTGTTGAGGATAACAAGTTATGGCACAATTCGGACAGAACGGACCAAAGCGCAATTCGGGCGGGCGGGCGTAGTATACGGCGCGACCTATAGCATATCTTGGACAGAACGGACCAGACGGCGATCAGGGAGTGCGCAACTTACGGCGCAACCTAGGCACACAACACCAAGCCGTGATTTGGTCGGGCATGCGCAATGTATGGCATCACGCGTCTGGAAAGGATTGTCCCTAGTTATCGGTGAGTTTCTTGGTTCGGTTGTTGTTGATTGTTCCTGCTGCGCCATGTCAGCGATTAGTTGGGTGCGTTTATCCCCGCTATTCTTAAGTTTGCACGTAATACCTGAATGTAACGAATATGTTTGGTTCGCTAAGTAGCTCTTCGTTGTTCCCGACGATGCTGGTTATTGAGCGTGTTGCCTTGTGCTCCGCCGTAAGTGTTTGGTGTATGCTATTCAACTTTGGTGTTAATGAGCAGTTCCAGTAGTTCGGTTGGTTCATGTTTGTGCTCATGGAGTGGGGTAACAAGTCTGATTGCGTGCTGTGTGTTGGTCCATGTTTTGTAGTGCACACGCCGATCGTGTGTTCTATCGGATCTGACCACAAAGTTTGCGAGCGGGATACAAGCCACGCTGTCGCAGGGGACGTGCGATCGGCCACGGCAGGTGGACTGACCGCTGCCACAGCCAGGATGCACCTCTTGCGCAGCCATGTGGGATCAGGGCCACGAGCGCGAATGCCCTCCCCCGCCCGCCAGCCGGTGGCCTCCACCCTGGGCGGCGAGCTGGTGCGCCTGCGCCCGCAGGTCATGCCCGAGGGCATGCGGCTGCTCTCCCGCCGCGGGGCTCCCGAGGCCCCCGCGACGGCCGAGGGCCCCGAGCCCGCGGAGGCCCGCTGCTGGCAGCCGCGGCCGGCCACGGTGGCCCCGCTGCTGGCCGTGCTCTCGTGCGTGCTCTACTGCTGCAACGGCGAGCTGCTGCAGGCCCTGCAGACGCACGCGGCGGGGAAGGACGGCGCGTCCAGCCCCTCGACGCTGCTGAACCTGACCCTGTGCCACCTGGGAGGCCTGCTCTTTGCGCCCCACTTCCTGGCGCGCGACGACGTGGCCAGCGGGGAGGCGTTCGCCGCCGCGGCAGCGGGCGCGCTCGCCAGCGCCCCGCGGACGGCGGCCTTGTGCTTCGCCTTCCTCATCATGGGCTACAACTGTGCGTGGCTGTCCAGCGCGAAGCTCGTCTCCGCTGGACTCACCAATGCTGTGTTCCAGACCTCGATAGCGTTCGTCTACCTGACCAGTACCCGTGTGTTCGCGGAGCCGCTCACCTTCCCCCGGATGGTGGGCGTCGGGATGGCCCTCGCGGGTTCTGGGCTCGCGAGCGGCTTGGTGCATTTCGGGGCCGACCCGCTTGGGAGACTTTCGGGACCGACCCCGCCCGGAACGGTGATGGGAGTCATGCTTGCGCTGTTGGCCTCGTTGGGCGTAACGGTTTACCAGGTGTTATTCAGGCAATTGTTCGGCCATCTCAAGGGCGATTGGCGTTTCCTCGCATACTTCGGGGCCTGGGTCAGCGTCTGGCACGTGCTGGCTATCTTGCCGATGGTTGTGCTCGCCAGCCTCCTAGGCATCGAGAAGCTGGTGCTGCCCAGCGGCAATGCGGCGGTGGCCGGCACGTTGGTCTCGGCTGCGCTTGCGTCCGCAGTGAACGCATTGTATCTGTGCATCGTCATGTGGGGCTCACCGATGCTCCTGCCTTGCGCCTCCGCACTGTCTGTGCCGCTGACCGTTGCACTGGACGCTGTCTTCCACGGCGCCAGGCCAACGTCCATCGAGTGCCTCGGCCACCTGATGGTGGTAGTCTCCGTCGTGCTCATCTTGGCGGCGCGCACAACGGGGGTGGCGCGAGGGCGGGGCCTTCCAGCGGGGCGGGGTGTTCTGAGAAGGCAGGGGCCACCTTTAGAAGGGTGCGGGGGCCTCTTACGAGCGCTTATTCGACGCCGGGGTGGAAGGCCGCGAAGCCCCCATCCCTTCTTGGAAGGGCTGCCCCCCCCCATCCGCGCCGCCCACTAGTGCGCGCCGCCAGCCATCATGGACCTGCACAGCGCGGCGCTGACGTCCATGGGCAGGTACTGGCTGGGCACCGCCAGGGTCGGCGAGAGCAGCCCGGCCAAGCCGGCGCGGCACGGCCGCGGCGCGCCCGGCCGCGGGTCTCCGCCCCTCGAAGTGTAGGCGGGCACTGCCCTGCGCGTGGCTTGGGACGTGCTCCGCTCACCGGGCGCGTTCCACTACTCGCAGAGCGTGAATTACCTACCCCGCTTTCGCTTCCAGGCAAAGCCAAGCCATGCCACGCGCCTCCTCGTCAAGCGGCCTGACCAGTACAGGCTGCAATTTGGCATCGTTTGGTATCTCTTGGAAGCGAGGGTGGTCAAAAGCGAGGTAGGTTTGTTTTCCCCCTATACTCGCAAGGTGCCCACTCGCGAACGTCAGGGAAAAAAACATGTCTTCCTCTATGTAGTGGATCGTCAATCCCCCGCGGCGGATCTGGGCCATTTGAAAAGCAGTTTTTGGTGCAAGTAGTGGGACACGCTGGTCTATCCGCGCTGTGAGCGGCGCGTCGCGAAGGGCGCCAACTGCCTCCCAACACCGGCCACACCGATCCTGGGACCAGGATCGGCAAGGTCACGATCAGTGTCCGGAGGGTTCCAAAGGGGGTTTCTGGAGAGGAGGTTTTCCAGAGAGCCCCCTTAGGGGCCACGGAGCCTCGTCAAAACAGGTGGTGCGAAGCCCCTGGGGGGGCCCTCCTCGAAAACCCCCTCCCCCAAAACCCCCTTTGGGACCCTCCGGAGTGTGAGGTGTATGGTAGTCGTCCTCCAGTTGAGCGTGGACCGGGTCGTGCTCCGCGCTGTGGGCTCGGCGGCGCACACCGTGGGGTGCCGCGGAGGGGGCGGCCTGTGAAGAGGACGGGGGGGGCGTCTTCGAAGGCAGTGGCCCGCTTAGAAGCCCTCCCTGGTCTTTGGGAGGCCGTCTTGGAAGCCTCCGTGCCCTTCCCCTGCCTCCCATTGGGGGCGTCCAACAGGGGAGTGATGCCTGTGTGTGTGTCTGTGCCTGTGTGTGTGTGTCTGTGTGTGTGTCTGTTTGTGTGTGTGCGTCTGTGTGTGTGTGTCTGTGTGTGTGTCTGTGTGTGTGTCTGTGTGTGTGTCTGTGTGCGTCTGTGTGTCTGTTTGTGTGCCTGTGTGTCTGTTGTAGGTGTATGTGTGTGTGGGTCTGTGTGTGGTGTGTATATGTGTGTGAATGTGTGTGTGTGTGTCTGTGTGTGAGCGTGTGTGAGTGTGTTTGTGTGTCTGTGTGTAAGTGTGTAAGCGCTTATGAATGTGTGTGAGTGTGTGTCTGTGTCTGTGTCTGTGTGAGTGTGTGTGCTTGTTCGTTCTTTCGTTTGTTTGTTCGTTCGTTCGTTTGTCCGTTGGTTCGTTCGCTCGTTCGTTCGTTGCCCGCCGCGAGCGGGACCGTCACGTCCGCGCACCAGGCTCACGCCAGGCCGCCCTCCGAGCGAGACATGCCGGTGTCGATGGCTGAAGGGGAGGTGCGCGGGTGGGGCACGGTCCGTTGTGCAGCCACCCGACCATGCCGACCAACCACACAACCCCGCGCCGGCCGCAGCCCTCCAGAACTCCCAACCACCAGGGCCGGCCCCTTTCTGGAAATGGACACGCCCAGCCGTGGCCATCATGCGTCACAACACACAAGCACGCACCAGCGCCCACGGCACGGAGAGGCGGGCGTGCGTGCTTGCTGCCGCGGTGCGCTGCCCGCTGTGACGCGGAAGGTGTGCCAGCCCGCTCTGGGTGGTGTGATGGGGTAAAACACGGTAATACAGTCGGGGCCCTGAGGAAGGAACCCTTTTGGTTGGGGAGGGGCTCCGCGTTCCTTAAGTGTTTCACAGCTTGCCTCAGATTTTCCTTATGTTTTCGATCGGGAAATCGAAGTTTAACTTATGGAAAAAAGGGGCCTCGTTCCTTATTTAATCGCTTCGCTCATTCCGCCGGCCCATATTGTCGCACCGTTGTGGGCTAGCCGAGTTTTGGGGGCCGTTTTGGGGCCTCTTGGGGCCTCTTTTGGGCCTCTTGGGCGCCTCTTGGGGCGTCTTGGGGGCCTCTTGGGGGCCTCTTGGGGCCTTTTTGGGGCCTCCTGGGCGCCTTCTGGGGCGGAGGGCTCGATTTTTCAGTTCTCGGTTCCCCTCTTGAGCCCCTCTTGGGCCCGTCTTGGGGCCTCTTGGTCCGTCTTGGGCGGCACTTGGGCCGTCTTGGGGGCCCTCCTGGGCCGTTCCGGGGCCGTCTTGGGAGCCTCGTGGGCCGTCTTGGAGCGGTCTTGGGGGCCTCTTGGGCCGTCTTGGAGCGTCCGGAAGCCGAAAAAGCCAGAACACAAAAAACATCGAAAAAACAATGAAAATCAACGATTTTGGCCTCTTGGGGCTCTCTTCGGAGGCCTCTTGGAAGGCTCTTGGGGCGTCTTGGAGGCCTCTTGGGCTGTCTTGGGGGCCTTTTGGGCCGTCTTGGGGTCATCTTCGGCGTCTTCGAGCGCTCTTTGGGCGTCTCAAGGGGCCTCGTTCCTTATTTAGGGTTCCTTCGGTGAACGCCCCGACTGTACACCTCCGCGTGACACCCTACGAGGGCTCGCCTGAGCATGTGGGCGCACGGGTGGGCGAGAGTGCGCGTACCGCTGAGCCAGCATGGGGGGTGGGCACGGGGAAGGAGGAGGGAAGGCGGCCAGGAGAGGGAGGAAGGGGTGGGGGGGGGGGACAGGAGGGAGAAGGAGGAAGGGGGGAGGGAGGGAGGGACAGAAGGAGGAGGACTCAGAAGGAGGAGGGAGGAGGGACAGAAGGAGATGGGACGCTCAGGACGGTCTCATCGACTGAAGTCCCGCTCCGCCGGCACGGCGGGCAGGACCACGACGCGCTTGGCGAGCGAAGGCGCC